TGGCCGTTCACACTGACAACACAGGAGATATTTTACACCTTACCCAGACTGTCAGGAGTGTATGCAAACAGAGCCGTGCAGCATTTGCATTCTGAATTGTACGATTATCTCTCTAACAAACAAGTTAGATGTTAAAATGGTAAAGGCAAGTCGAGAAGAAAACAATGTAAACAATTGAATCTGTAAAGCATTCACAGTCCAATTAAGATATGACCATTCAAGTTCTGCTTTGACAGAAGAGGGAAAGGTAAACACAGATATAATCTCTCTGTACATTCTCATTGGGAACAGTACACTCGCTGTCCCAGAGTGTGACACTGTGTCTCAGCAATGACGCTTACATGTTTCATTTTGGTCTTTGTTGACTCACGAAAGTTGTACTTCCCTCAAGTCTGTTTTTGGAGTATGACATACTCATACCCTTTCAACTTTTATAGATGGTTTTCTTCCTCTCAGAAAAGTGGTCAGCTTGGTTTCACTGCAACATATACAAACAATTACAACCTACAGCCAGTAATAATTATGGCTTTAACCCTTAACCTCCACTATGTTCCAGTCCAACAGTTCTTCAGTTAAGTTAAGTAGCCCTCGTGTCTGTCAGTTTAGTATGGAGCTAGAGCCAAAAGTCCACGAGCTTAGCTTAGCATAAAGCCTCTCCAAAGCTCAAAAATAGCCATACCAGCACCTCTAAGGCTCACTCATAAACATTTCTCCTTTGTTTAATCTGCACACAAACCAAAATGTAAAACACCAGTTTGTGGTTTTACAGGGAGTTGCATCCTGTAACTTTCAGCTAGGCACTGCAAGTTCACTGCACACAGACAGAAATAGTGCCAACACAAACCTCACCATAGAACTTCTTAAATTTACATTTTGCTTTTTGTACGGATAAAACAAGTGAGTGATGTGTTCATTTGTGAGCTTTAGAGGTGCTGGTAGGTCGATTCTGTTACATCTGGACTCAGCAGTTAAGCTAAGCTAACTGCCTCGTGGTGTGCAACTGCTTTCAGTCTGATTTAAACATCGTGATCATGCTGCTGGTGAGATAAATGTCGTCAGAAATCTTGATAATTTATTTGGTTGACAGGCTGCACAAACCACATTCATTAGAAATGACGCAACCTTTACCACTCTTCTCACCAGCGTTCCCCTCTTTATCAGACATGTTTTTACATTGAACTGCACTCTCCACAGCTGAACCCGGATCACTTCAGGACTCTGTATTTGTTGTTGTCTGTAATGTATGCCTCACTTAAAGTCTGAGGATGACACATCACTCACTGTATCCTAAAGCATACTTCCACCTGGACTCAAGTTCAACCATCAACAGAGCCTTGTCTGGTTCTTCAACTCTAATACTACCTTAAGTTTTCATTATTTGTGAAACCTTAAAGCAAGGATGACACTGTACTACGCCCACCACCCCCAGACATGTGCTGAAACAAATGCAAGAAGTGTCTTTTAACTATCCATTAAAGTGAAGCTGAGATCTGTTGAATCAGCAGCTGGGTGAGATGATGCTGTCCCTGACCACCGTGAGGCAGTGCTGCTGATGTGGGTGTGGACAACCCTTTGAGGTCTGTGAAGTGCTAAAGGTTATATGAAAGCTTCAACAGCACGGAGGGACAAAATAGCCGGAGGGTCTTTTTCTGAGAAATGCAAACAGGGAATACGGGGGCTCGAAGCAAGCAGAAAGTGGGTGTGTGTGGCTCTGTCATCATCATCTCACGGGGTTCAAACATCTGGCTCTGGCTTTTCACTTCCACTTAAACCATCTGTGAAAACACTTATCTGAGAGAATCGTAGCCCCCAAAAGGCCTGCAGACTGGTCTCACACACACACACACACACACACAGACCGGCCATCACTGTGGACACGCTATCTGAGCTGAGCATACACACATTGGTCTCATTATCACGTGTGTGTTGCGAGGGTTGGAGCTGGGCTTTCAGAGGAAACTATAAAATGTCATGTTGAGAACATTTTACAGAGACTGCTGTGAGCGTCAAAAATAGAAGCACAAATGGGGATTTTACAAACCACTTGGTTGATGGCAGACAACGTTCATCCCAAACTAGTGTCAAACTGTCCTTTCTTGCCAGCGTTTGAGTCTAATGGAAATGACAGCACATCACATCACGAACAGCCCCCAAAACCACATCCAGTGCCCACAACATTCACTGCAGGGAGGCTTGCCTTTATACAAAACAATAAACGGACAACTCTCTGTTATGGTGAAATATCAAAAATAACACCGCCTGGAAACCCATCTGATAATAAAGCTTTTACTCTTCAATCCACGGAAATATCAAGCAGCACTGTGCTGCCTCCGCCTGTTTCTGTTTCCTCAGGCTGACTGCGGACTGCGCTCGGGGGCTGCTCAGTGGAGCTCTATGGCCTTTGCCATCAGGATCAGTGGAAGTGACACACTGTGGCCAGGTATTGATCCAGCGGCTCCTCCCGGTGTGTCACATCAAAACAGCTGCCTGACAGATCTTTGCAGCTTTTCAGGAGCAGCAGGAGGTGTCGCATGAAACACACACACAGCCCGCTGAGCTTCAAGAGTGGACTACTGATCAACTGAGGGAAATGATTTAAATAACTTACATATTATACATATTATATAAGCGCTCACATATTCTTCAGTTTCTCCTGCGGAAACACCAAAGTCACCAGCACACTGTGTGTAAAGGTGGCATTACCTAAACCCTTTAGATTACTGAATCAGAGGTTAAAGAAAATCCACTTCAAAGTCTGCCTCTAACTCCAGATTTAAAGAATGTTTAGAGAGGTATTAGCTAATTAACATTCTAAATTTAGATATTAATCGTGCTATTTTTACACAAGGCATTAAGCCTCACAGGGAACTGACTCATGAGATCACAGAGCTGATACTCGTGTTATAGCCCCTGAATTCAATTATTTTCCATAGGGGACACATCAATATATAGGGACTTTTATTTTCAGCTCTTTTATGAAAATAGGATGAAGTGAACTCTATTTCTCTGCCTATTTAGCACAATGTGAGTTACAGTCCTGTTGGTACCAGGGTTGGTGTCTAAACTGGATCCAAGAGGCAACAGGGCCCACAACATGAAGACTTTAATTCACTGGATTGATTAGAAGAAAGCAAACTACAGAGTGACTATTCTAGTCTGAGGTTTCTTCTCCATGCTTACATGAGTAATATTGTCCGGGGGGGAAATCAGGATCAGCTAAAGGTTTTTTAGATTAATTTCACATTAGTCATAAAAAAATATATAAGACTCACCTTAGAGGAATTTTGACGGCCAGATATCTATCAATTGCAATAGCAAGGAGACTGAAAATGGAGCTTTGTGTCAGCACCAAGACAAAACATGCCAGGAACAGGCACCCATAGAAGTCCAGCTGTATGCCGAGGCTGATGGTTATGGCAAAGGGGATGGCGAGGCAGCCGACCAGAATATCAGCCACAGCCAGAGACACCAGAAAATAGTTGGTGGCGTTCTTCAAAGTGGTGTTGATCGCGACAGCCCAGCAAACCAGTATGTTGCCGGATATGGAGAGAACAGCAATTACTACTTCAATCACGATGTACAACGACTTCATCTCAGCAAAGTGTGTTAAAGGACTAAAAGCTGCAGGCTGTTCACAGAGAAGACGGTCTCTGCTTCTAGTCCCAGAGGAGTAAAGAAGTCTTTCTGCTGTAATCCAGGAATATCCCGCAAGTGTGAGCTCCAGAACCAGCCATCTGAGGAAGGGGAAGGGATTTATTCATAGTTAGAAAAAGCAACAAAATACTATTCCTGCATCTCAAAGTTACCCAAAGCTGTATAATGTGCCTCACAATACAGCAACCCTCCAGCCCTGCTGCAGAACCCATAAAACAGTCAGAAAGTCACTGAACGTTGTTGCCGCTCACCTTAATGAACCTGTACATCTTCTCTGGATGTTCTTCACACCAACAGCGTCCGACCCGTGGAGCGTTTCAGCGGCATCTAAGGATCTGTAGCGTAGGAACAGTGTGACACAACTTCCCCACTGACAGCGGTTTTGAAGTGGAGGGAGAAACGCCAGAAAAAAAGGGGGGAAAACTCAATTTCACAGAGAAGCCACGCCCCAAACACACACATATACACACACACACACACACACTCGCACGCGGTGACAAGTGGCACAATACGGGTGGAAATCCCGCACAAGAGCGTCACCGGGCCGTCGTGCGTATTTACGCGCCGGTTAAACTGCATCCAACTACGCCCCCACGTGCTTTCCGTTTAATGTAAACGAGGTCTTGTTTGTACAACACACTACACGCACGCGCGCCCGCAGAACTCCCAGACACTCGACTTCATCTGGTTTCCATCAGGCCGAAATCGCGACGTTTTGCCCCCCCGCCGCCGCCGCCGCCGCCAGAGACTCAGCGGAGGCAAACGCAGCCAAAAAAAATGGATTTCCTCACGTTTTTACGAAATATTGTTTACCTTCCGCTTCTGGCTGACGCAAAGGCATGAGATGAAGTAAGAGTAAAAAGTAATGCTTATATGTGGAAATCAGTTTTAAAGAGATCTGTGGCTCATGATCTTAATGCAAACTGAAATGGTTTAGCTTCATTATTGGGTGTTTGTCTCATGATGATCACTAAACTCTCCACATGATCAGACAGAATGCTTCCACACTTTTCTTTTTTACCAAACAGACCTTATAAAGTTTTTTTCCTTTACTTATTCAAGCCTTTTTTTAAATTCTCTTCAGACTCACTTTTATTGAGATATTTCAATTAACTCTAAGTGTTACTTCATGGGTACCCGCTGCCACTGTTTCCACTCAGTGTTCCCACACACCCAAATGTTTTACAGCCCTGGCACAGAGCTTTACTGGGCACAGTGGAAAAGCAGTTTAACCTCAACCAGAGCAGCACACTGAGAAGCTGGTGCATTCACATAGTAGCTTCACTGAAAAGGAGCGTCTTTGTGTCCCAACATAACCTGGAGAACACTTAACAAAAAGTGAGTGATTTAATATAAAACTTGACAATCCTTTATTGAGCAATATCAATCCAACAGGCCTCCAAGTCTGACATCCGTTAATAGAAAACTGCATACATATCTGTCCACATTCTCACTTTTCAGGATGCATGTAAATAAATAAATAACACTTTTTATCTTCCAAAACATAAGGGCATCTGCAAACGGAGGCTTGTCTAAATCGTGTTGTGCCTTAACTCCTACAAGTAAAAGTCATCCTCTTTAACATGGCATGCCAAATATATATGTATATTTTGCAAAGCAGCTGCAGTACCATAGTTGTTGAGAGAGTCTTGATGGAAAACGTGAAGAAACGACACAGGAGGGCACAGTACGACGGTTTGATTCAGCCAATCCTTAATGCTGTAAACAAAGCAAACATAGAGATCAATCTGTTTTCATAAAAAATATTTCTACAAAACTATTCAGCAACTCTCGTCGTGTTAAATCAGTTTAGTGTCGCGTCACAGATGGCAGCTATAGGGTTTATATCTATCTTTAAGGACACACACAATTAAAGGTGGAAAATATAAAGGCTTCAGTTCAACTCAAACCTGTCAAAATACTTTCTGCTCTGCAAAGTAGAACTCCAGCGTGTTCACAATAAGCACTCGATGTGAGAACTGATCGAGTCTTTGAAGCAACATTTCAGCAAAATGTACCAAAAGTTGAGTTCACTCTCTGTTGTTGAGTGAAAGGAGACGTCACACTGCACACTCAGACAGAAGGTTCCACTTTATCCATGCATAGATAGTCCTGTATAATTTTGTCAGAATATTTGGCACATGTTCAAACTGGTTATGTGTCTCCTGACTGCAGGTTTTGTCCATTTGGGTTTCAGCACTGACTGTAGCGTCCTGTTATGAGAGAACAGCCGCTCTGTGACTGTTTCTCAATTCCTCGGCCATGTCTCTAGTGTCAAACGTTGAGCAGGAGAGGGGTTGAGGTGGCAGAGGTCGGTCTGTCCGGTAGGTGAATGTAGTGCTGACAGATGATGACAGAAAGGTGTTGCAGTGCCTCTGATGACAGTCTCCAGCTCCTCTTTTCAACGCTGGTCAGGTCTCAAAGTACTTGTAGATCTGAGAGACGTACAGCATGACGCTCTGCCAGTCAGGCCTGTCTGTCTTCATGAGCTCCTCAATGTCCTGTTTGACACAAAAAAGAGGGGAAAGAACAATTAAGTAGGTAGGTGGAGGTTTTATAGATCTGAGACCACTGTTGGTATTGTCATCTCACAGGAGGCTTTTAAGTGCGACAAATTGAAAATATTTCCATTACTTAACTCATACTTAAAATTGATTGCAAATAGCAGTTTCCATAATTCTTTATATAATCTTTGTTGTTCGCAGCCAAACAACAAATAAAGGCCTGAAACTTGCTCCCATCTTATCAACCATTCACACACATTTGTGGCACCTTTGACCTGTATACATTATGTTGAACAAAGAAAAATAATTTAAAGAAATTATGATCTTTTTTGTCACCAACAGTGTGATATTTCATTGTTTTTTTATGTAAATACTGGTAATATTGGTAATATATGGTGAGCAGTGTTATTATGAAGTCACTCTTAATAAATGCCATGAATGTGAATGTTAAAGATTTAGCCCAGTCAGATTTAAACATGAGAACACAGGACAAGAATGTGCACAAGTTTCATCACATCAGACGGACACAACCCAAAATCAGTCCATCGTATGTATTTTTTTAAGTATACGTTTATTTTTTTTTCAGAGCAAAACAACACACAAAACAACTTGGCTCACAAACAGGAAAGAGACTTAGGCATTACGTAAAAAGTATATCTAATCCATTATCGGACATAAAATGCTCAAAATACATAGTATCTGGCAATCTGGCAATATATTTAAGTATGACCTTATACCACTGTATTTTAGTTGGGACTGTGTCTGTTATCCAGTTCAGAAGTGTGCACTTTCTTGCACTGAATATTGGCATTTTTATAAAGAAATCAGAAATAAACCCATTAGTATGCATACTGATTTTATATTATTATTATAAGATATAATAATTTATTCATTTCCTGGCCCATAATATACCAAAACCTCTGTATTTCCCAGCAAGACCACAGGCTGTGGGTAAGACTAGCTGTCTCTACTTTTCACTTAAGACACAGAGGAGGGAGGTCAGCATCAAACGTATGGTACTGGGAATGGGACGCATGGGCTCGGTGTAAAACTGTAAACATTTTTAATATTATTCTTCTTTGTTAACTGAACCACTCACTCATTTTTTCTTCAGTTGCTTTGGTGCAATTATCAAATGAAAATAATGTTTCTCAAAACAGTGCGTGAATTCTGCTTTCATACAGAAACTGAAATGTATGAATACAAATATCTTCAAATGCATTCGGCTCTGTGATTAAAATCGATTACACCGCTTTTAAAATATGTATTACTCTCAGTCAGATGTCTTCATTGACAGGCTCATTAGGTAAATCCTCAGATGCAAAATATTCAAGTCAATGTCACAACCTTTCAAATATGCAGTAAGTAATTTGGTGGTGTCATAAAAAGAACCACATGTTGGTTAATGTAGTGTACAGATGCCACTTCTCTATCATTTCTCTCCCCTCTGAGTGTTTGGATGGCCAATGAAGTGTTGGGGGGCATTTACTTTGTTTTTCTTGTTTTTCTTATTCCTGATCAACTTTCTGTGTGGAAGAAAGTAGGTCTCTGCACAGCTGTCAGACAAAACATGCCTCAACTCAATGAGAAATCACATAAAGAAACATTTTTGTGTCATACAGTTCTTAGACATTTGACTGCCTTGACCTAACCAATAACACGTCACTTTGGTGGCAGTGATGAACTTATTTATGATTTACTTCTGAAACAAAAGTTAAATGTTTTGAGAGTGTAATGAGCTTTTGCAGGACAAATACATGTGTTGTTCTGTTCAGTATAAAATGAAAATTCCTTAAAATGTGTTAAGACACACTGCATTATGAGACTCTGCTCAAGACTCTGATCAGCTGTGTGAGGCTGCAGGCGGCCCCTTAGAGACAAGTCCTGGCTGACAGTGATGAGTCAACAGTGAACCAAGCTTTCACATGACTGGCGCCCCGGCAGCTTTCAGTACAGTCACCTCCATGATGTCTCAACCTCCTAACAGAAGGAGGATCGGCTCCTCTCTGGGCTGTGTCCGAGGGTTTTGTTTATGCAGCAAAGACAGAAGGAGTAGAAAACAACATATGGTAAGTCTGTCAAAAGAGACTAGAGAGAGCCAGTGGTTGTTTATTTGTTTATAGTTTTTAATTCACTGACATGGGAACAAGTTTGCCATGTCAGTGGATCCAATCTTGTGGCCACAAGCACGTAATGGAGAATTAATAAGACAAAGAAATGTGATCTTTGGTCTCCGAGAAACATTTAAGGCTGGTTTACTTCCTTGCAGATGTCCAGCTGGCTTCTTCCAGATTTAGAGCAAACGAGCTGTTAGACTGATTTGTGTATTTTTTATGTCATCTCAGAAGTTCTTTTTGTTGGACTTTTAGAAAGAACAAATATCCAACTACATTCATCTGTTTCCATCAGAAGTGCACAGAGAGTAACAATGCGGGAAAGTCATGCACAGATGAGGTCACATTAGTTTAATCCTTACATGTCTCAGACACTCTGCAACCACCAGTGTGTGCAGCACCAATACAAGTAGGTCTGGGGAGGAAAACGTTATTCCCATTGGCTGCAGATTATTCCTCTTAATCTGACCTTTTTATCTGTTTACTCAGGAAGTTGTGTGCGTGAGGAATTCACTTGACCTGGTCAGCATTAAACTGTTTAGTGTCCACACTCTTACTGGAAGTGATATGTGTGTTGAAAAGAACATGAAAAAAGTGGTAAAAAAACATAAAGGTTGTGTGTTTGTGTGAGCAGATCCTGATATATGACCTGAAGTGAAGTTTTATATAAGACAATGAGTCAGGATCTGGGACAGTTCACAGCCAAAGTACAATGATGTAGTTTTATCCCAAATAATCACCATGATTGTAAAGGCCCTAAACATATATTTTCTTAATCCGCGTCTCACTGTGGTCAATGAGATCTTATAGGACACACAATATTTTCTACCAACAGTTTCGTTTCACTGGACAGACTTCTGAATTTATGTTTTTGTCAGTGTTTTTCTCTGGTTTGAAATGAGCTGCTCAAACCATACGCACACAGTCCTCATGAAGAAGGTTGGCCAAGTTTGTGTTTGTCATTATTTTTTAATGTTATAGAGAAAGGATTCATTTATTTTAAACCATGTTGTCAGTGGATTGAAGGGAAAATCCATCCTAAAAATAAATGAATACTTTTACTTCTATTTACTTTACTTATGTTTATCTCCTTTCTTGCCAAGAGTTAGATGACCCTCACATCATTTCTTTTTGTTACTGTGAGGTTGCCATGCAACCAGCCAAGACTCCAGGAAGTCAATGCACTTGGCCAAGAAATAGTCTAACATTTAACGCTCTGTGAAAGGCCAACATGTCATTTTTAGTAAGGATGGCTGGCAATGATCGCGGGCATGTCTACATGACTAATTTGTCACGTAGGATATGTCAGGCTAGGGCGGTCGTCCACTTTGGTCCTGTTTGAAATATCCCAACAACTTCTGGAAGAATTGCCAAAACGTTTGGATAAAAAAACTATAAAAACGGCTCATTGTAAGGTAACAGAAACAGAACGATTCTTATTTTCAGGTGATCATACACTTGAAAACATACCTATGAATATTCTATTCCATTTCTGCCAACAGATCCTCCTAAATGTTACACACTGGACCTTTAAAAGGTAGACAGTTCACTTCAGCTACCATTAGCACTTTGCACAGCGTCACTGGATAGAAATATGTGGGTGATTAGAGTTTGAGTGTTTACAGCATGGCAAAACACAGACATTTACTCACAAAGTCTAAATATTTCACTTAAGCAGCTGGTTGTTACTCAACCATTTCTGACCAGAGCTGCTAATTTTTTCACAATGCAACTAAGCTAATCAAACTCAAACTATACCTGAATTATGCATTACGTTTTTTTTCTCTTGATGCAAAATGTCGTAGATTTCCAGGGCACAGTGCTGGAACAGAGGCTCAAGGCAATCAGGCAAAAAAGGACTCACTAACTGATATGACAGAGTTAAGCTCAAGACTTCCAGGAAGAAAAATGGTCCAACACAATGGCTGTGGGGCTCTGTTCTGAAGATGGACATCCTGAAAGTTTGGCAAATCAAAGTGCACTGGTTCCAATTAGTCTAATCAAAGGGTCTACTTGTGTTATCTAAATGGGTTTATTTGTGTGTGGGCGTGTGTGTGAGGTCTGTGGCAGATCAACTCACCAGGGAGGGTTTGATGCCAATGCTCTCGGCGGCCTGGAAAGCCAGGGTCAGATTCCGAACCTGAAGGAAAACAAACCATTGGGTGTTGAGGCACTGTGAAACTCCCTGCACCACGTCATCCTACAACACCACACATGGAGGTTCAAACAGCAACAGTAAGCCCACAAATACATTTATAATCCTTTACAAACTAACTAAAGCATATGTCAGCCATAGCTTGTTTGTGTGAGAATTTCAGTGTATTATATTATCCCTTATGTTTATAAGTGTAAAGCTATACTGGACAAAACCTCTCAAAATAGACCTGTCAGTGAGCCTAACTAACATCCCCAAGAACTGAATCCCTTTAGATTTAGCCTGATGCCCCTTTTGTTAATAGAAGCCTGAACTTACCAACATAATATCTTTGGCTTCTTTCAGTCTCTCTCGACCTCAAGTTCAATTTATGCCTTTTGAATTGAGAGTGCAGGTCCTTAAACTGCTTATCGCGACTCTCACCAGCACTCGAAACCCATCATATAACCTGCCTCTAGACATCAGCACAGCTGGGATGATTAATGAATAAATTATGAATTGTTAATAATTAGTTCTGCAGCTGTAGACTGCTATGTGAAAGAACAACCTCTCTTTCACCTAAAATATAAGTCCACCTATAACCCTGTTTTCTTACATCTATGATAAAGGGCGAAGGAGGGCAGTAATGGGATTATTGGAGGACAGATTATACTGGGAAGAGGCTGGGTGTTTGGGCCTCGGGGAAAGTCACTCAGCAAGAGTTATTAAAGCCAACACGCGTCTATTGAATTATTCAGAGAGATGGGCCGCGCAATGTCTCTGTCATCAGCTCAATGTAACGCCAATGGGACCACCCACACACATCCTACATGACTAATAGGAGGTCACGTAGGATGCGTCAGGCCAGGTCGGAGGTGTTTGTCTACTGTTTTAATGTTGTAGCAGGCGAAAAAGACCAACAGTCCCCAGAGAACCATACTGTTTTCAATGCTAATGTATATATCACCTGCATGTTCACATTACAGAGCCGTCAACACTGAGCCATACAGTGGCTGCTGCCCTCAGTTACAGTATGACTACACAAAAGCTACATTCATAATTCATCTTCTGGCTGTGCTTTAATGCTGTGTGGATAATATTGCAGACCTATAAAATGTATACAACTTCATAAAGGAAGTCTGGAATGTGCAGCTTAATGGTGGAAAAAATTACTCCTGGAAAAAATGGCTTCAAAGCATTACAGAGATTTTATTTTCCTGCTGGCAAACATGCAATCTTTCAGACCTACACCGTATAAGCAGACCATTTTCACAGTTTACAGGTTCACATTTTCCACAAACAACTTATTGTGGCTTTGTGTGTGGCGTTTTCTGGAGACACAATTCTGTAAATCTATGTCGGAGAGAGGACCACAAGAGAATGAGCATGCAGTTTGTTTGCTCTACTCACAAATCAGAAACAACACTTACTACAGGTCCAAAGAAGTTAGCAGCTATTCTTTCTTTAAGGCAAACTGAGCTCTGCCAAGCCACTGTGAAGAATTCACCGTAGTAAACAAACGCATTTGTCTTCCCTGGTAAATATCCTCATGACGTCGGTTTTTGTATTAACTCAACCTCATATAAAGGAAGGGATTTTCGCAGAAAAAGCTGAAGAATATATAAGTATGTGTGGATCACGACCCAGTGATGACTGAATCCAAGTATGGAAGTGAGTTGGCATTTATACGACGTAGGGGATGTAGGGGTTGGAGAAAATGTGTGTGAGGAAACAATAAATGTCATGGAATGCGGAGAGAATTTGTGTGCATGGAACGTGTCCTACGTGTGTGTGTCCCTGCTATAAATACACTGATTTCCGTTTAGAGTGCTTAGGTTGCACTTTTTATCTACTGGTGAAGCACTGACCTACCTGTTGAGACTGAAATGAGATTAGTACTGGAGTGTGTGTGTGTGTGTGTGTGTGTGTGTGTGTGTGTGTGTGTGTCTTCCTGTAGTATCCTACCTTATCTTGACTGATGAGTTCCTGGTACGGGATATGGGCAGGCAGATATGTGTGCAAGAGGGCACAGAAAGCCAGGCCGTCACTCCAACTACTGCTGAAGTTGGTCACATCAATATTCTGTAGATGGAGAAGAGAGGAAAAAACATACATCACATCATAAGACACAAGTGAGCCAAAGTCAATATCATGCATAATGAGGTTAGAGTGCCCATAATATGGTGTGAAAGCTAGCTTCTTGACAACATGAACAGGCCATGAAGAAAGCCATTAAGTCATACAACCACAGGAAACAACATCAAATTTCAAATGTAATGCCATTATATGCTGTTCTGGGTCTCTCAGCGTCCATTAATGCCTGGTCGTGTTTTCCTTTAGAGGATGTCTTCTTAGATCCCATTTAAGCCTCTGACGCTCTCTCTGATCTCTCCTCTGGGTGAAGAACGTGCATAGCAGCACGTCCAGCCTGTTGTGTTTTTGTATGTGTGTGCAATTCACAGAGCATCATCACCTCGTACACCCTACTTACAGCGTATTCAGCGCCTGATAACAGTAGAGAGTTCGTAGGAAAGACTTCCTCTGGGCCATTGTTTGGCGTTGCAGGCCCCCCTGTTGGATAGATAACTTATTTCCTGTGTCTTCCTCGTCAATCCCTCCAGTGAGCTTTGCGAATGGGGCTCACAGCCAGGGAGACTCTCTTGAGTCAGAAGTATGCCTGTGAGACATTGTAGGCCTCCAATTCACATAATGAACCTGTGAAAGTTACAGTATTCTGATCCAGGTCCATTGAGTACATTTGGAAATAGTCAAAGAGCCCTAAAAGCCGACATGCTTACATTTTGTTGAATATAGCAGTGTATTGCTGCCACCATGACACAAAAATATATATCTTTTTAAAGTTTTCAAAACATCCATTTCCCATTAAAATTTGATATTTTTCGTGTTATTATGACATATTTTCTAGTTATAACTAGATACCAAATGATTCAGTTTTTACAAGAAATTTGTTTTAACAACATATCACTTTATTTTGTATCTAGATTATATCTTGCTAAAGCAAACATTTCTCGTTATAACATGAGGCGCTGGTATATGGTGTAAAAATGAGATAAAGATCCATCATTGACTGAAGAGACGCCATAGCCTATAGAGCAATCATATAACATATGACATTATGTATTAGGACTGTGGGTTTTGTATGCATTATTTGTGCACCTATGTGTGTATTTGGTATCAGTGATTGTCAGTGAATGGACATCTCCTACACTCCCACCACCACCTCCTGACAGTGCGAGCAATAAGCACAAACCCAGATACAGTGACTGACATTAGGGATGATGGTATTAATGTGCCCTTCTCTCTCTCTCTCTCTCTCTCTCTCTCTCTCTCTCTCTCTCTCTCTCTCTCTCTCTCTCTCTCTCTCTCTCTCTCATCAGCACCAAACACAGCTCACCCTCTGGCTAAGACCTGCCTCCTCTTCCTGACTACATGCAATACCTTATGAGGCTGTATGCCTATATATGTATCCAGCCCACCATCAGCCTTTCACCTCTGTCAGACCAGAGATCAAACTCTACTTGGGTAGTTTCACTTGCACATGTATAGTTTCACATATTTTTTAATCTGGAAAAAACCCACCGTTCTGCTTGAGCTGTTATAAAAACAGAATCAATGTTTTTTTAATTGTTTGGGATAAGCACTGCATTAAATATCTTTGGGTACATCTATGTGTCTATACACACAGCATTAGCTCTAGTGAGATGCTAAAGATTGGACATGCAGCCATGTGTTTGTTTACAGTTGCTCTAAGCCAGAGGTCTGAGGACAGAGCCCTGCTGATTTATTAACCAGTGACTGATCCATACATGAGCCAGGTTAATGTTATTAACTACCTGATGGGATAGAAAAACAGCAGAACTCTGAGTCCTGAGGCCAGGAATAAAAAATCACAGCTCTAAGTCACTGCAGTAATGAATACCCCCCGAGCTCTGAAGAACTGTTGACAAAATGTGTTATTTCTGATTGCTTTCACTTGTCTGCTTTGGCGTTATGGATGCCAGTTACCCCGGTTTAAAACTAGTTTCAAGGTGAGCGGCTGACAAACAGTAGGAGAGCAGGCAACTGAACTGATACGCATCCTGCCTTCAGAAGCAAACCATGTAAAATATTTGTTTATTGTTCTCACACTGATCGAACCTGGTGGTCACTGGTATGAAAATGTGCTTTTAGCTAAATGTGTTTTTATCTACTTTTTCAAAGAGTTGGTCAGTTGAACAGTCCACCATTTTGGTCCAGTCCACTGAAATACCTCAACAAATATTATATGGATTGATAGGATGACTGTCGCTGACTTTTCATTCAAGTTCCCCACAGGATGAACTGTAATAACTTTGGCAATCCCCTGACTTTTCATCTGGTGCCAACAGCAGGTCAGAATTTCTATCTGTCCAATACTTCCCATACTCCCACGCTAAGACACAGTCACGCACCGTAGACGCCACACGTTACTCAGGTGGTCGATATGTGAACAAGCCGTAAGACGGTGAACGTGGTAAACATTAAACCTGCTAAACATCCACATTTTAGCATTGTCATTGTGAGCAGAGTTGGTAGCACGGCTGTAGACTCTTGTTAAATGTTAATAAATGTCATGTTTTGTTAATATGACCATACAGTAAATATTTAATTATGTTACTGTTAATCTCCCTAGCAGCATGCCAGTGTGCATCTATGTACCTTAAATGTGATTTGTTAAAATACTAAATAAAATATGAGTTAGAAAAGTGTAGCCACTGATTGTTGTCCAACCGAGCATTTGTGGTAACAATGGGATCCGAAGGAGCAGCTGCTCCATCTGAATGAAGCATGCACAGTGCTGGGCTCAGGCTTTCAGGTTGTGCGTGATCAAGAATCAGTCACACTAACTGAAGATTAATCAAAAGAATCAGACATATATATATAAAAAAAAAACTCAACTACATTATATACTTTAATAACTACTTTGCCACTTCTCAGCATGTAGTGTTAATTAACAGCTATGTTTTACATCACTCCCAATAGGGATGTTAATTCTGCAGATAACATTTAATCTTGTTTTCATCCATAAGCTCTGATGGTATAACAGAGGCTGAGATCTTTGGAGGCCCGAGTCTCTTCTCCATCAGTCACTGCCTGTCTGCTATATCTGGAGGGCAGACCTGTGCAGTCATGTCAGCCCACATTCCTCTCATAACTCCCCCCTCTCTCTTTCTCTCTCTTAGCTGGCTCAGCAGCAGCAGCAATATTATCACTGTGTGTGTGATGTATGTGCAGAGTGACACACACACACACACACACACACACACACACACACACACACACACACACACACACACACACACACACACACACACACACACACAGGGAGTGATAGGGGGTTAGTCAGACCCCCGAGACTCCGAGACTAAGATATACAATAACAAATAAGCTGATAAGAGAGGTTGCAGAGGGCAGTTTGCATATGTGTATCTGGGTGCTGGGATGGTCTGAGGAGAACACAAGTCCTAATCCAGAGTAGGTAGGTGTGTTCGAGTTCAGGGTGGGAATGGGAAAGGAAAGGGGTTAGGGGTGGGGGGGTTCATTCAGGGTAGAAAGAGAGGGAGAGGCATGAATGCTAAAACAGCAGCGGACAACAACAGCTCTCTGGGAGCCGGCTCAGAAAAGCAAACACAGCATCAAGCGACAGGAAGCGTCTCGCTCGGCACAAAAGGCAGAGCCGTCGCTTTTTAGGGCTCAGAGAAAGAGAGTATGGGAGAGAGGCAGGGGCTTGTACAGCGAGAGGACTTAACAGTGAAAAAAAAGAGAGAGCGTTGAGTTGATCTGTGTATATTTGCTTTGGTCTGCCTTTAAGTGGAAAGCAGATACGATCTATGATAACATCAATAGTTAAATTATTGGTAATACTGAGCCTGGAATTTTTCATAAAGTAACAAAATGCAGACACAACTTTTCCTATGAAGAATGGCCCCATGCTACTCCTCTACTCTCAGCCTTTTAATGGTGCACACTTTTAAAAACTCAAATAAAGTATCACAAAGAGCAGGCAGCAAAATATTTGCAGCTACTGTAGAAACTGCTTTAGCTAGAAAGGACATTACAGGCCAAAGACATGTCACATCCATCTTTTCTGCTGTAAACCATTTAGAAATTGAATTCACAGACGATCTGGACAGGAGCCAGGCACTAAACATCACACAGACGGCAGTTAAACACTTTGCCGCATAGAAGGTAAGTGTGTGCTCTCGGCTGCCACGTGTAAATGCTACTGGCCTGGTGTCACACCCAGCAACATGGAGTAAAGCCCCTCAGCTGCCATGCTTTCATGACACTTGATACCCAGATGTCAACGTGCCGTTATTACAATAATAAGCTCTTAGTCACGGCTCAAGAATGAAAAAACATCCAAGCACAATGCAACATGCAGTGAGCGGGCAGGGAGGGATGGAGGATAGCTGTGACTGTGACACACAACATGCACGCCCAGTTTGTTAAAAAGCCATCAGTCTAAAGGGTGAAAGCAGGAGACATCAAGCCTGAGAGAGTCGTCAGACTGATGAGCTCGTCTCAGTATATTTTCTGTCGCAGAATGTCTCTACCTCGCCCCGACTGAGTGAGTAGGGCAAAAAGAAGACAAGAAAGTTTGAAATGGAGGGACAAAGAGAGAGAGAGAGAGAGAGAGAGAGAGAGGCGGAGAGGGGAGATAGGGGAAGAACGCCCTAATGTACCTTGCAATGAATCATAGTCATGAGCAATGACAGGCTGAAAGCCCAGGCAGACGGGACCGTCGAGATAAAGACAGGGCAACAGGGAAGGTCACAGAGCTGGTGGAGCCGGGGAGCTGTGCTCTTGATAGATTCACCTGGTCTCTACATACCATTTAATGGACCTATTCTGCACACAGGACAGGATAAAGAGTGGCGACGGTGTTACGGGTCAAAGAGGGCACAAGAGCACACAGGTCAACTGTAATTAAGATTAATGATAGAGCTGCCTTTGATTGAAAATGTTCACCTATCTGACGATAACATAAGAGATATTATTATCATATAAAAAAGATCTAGATTATCTCCAGAGCCTAGTAC